TTCTTCTCTTCTTCTTCTTCTTCTTCTTCTTCTTCTCTCTCTCTCTCTCTCTCTCTCTCTCTCTCTCTCTCTCTCTCTCTCTCTCTCTCTCTCTCTCTCTCTCTCTCTTCGAAATGTTGAACATAACTGAGCTCTTTCCTCCGAATTGAATCTGAGCTATCCAGATCTGCACGTTTCTCTTACGAGGATTTGTTGAAACAGATCTATTCAATTGAATTATCTGCACCATCGCGTGAAATTTACCAGCAATAAGACTTTCAAAACGCATGTTCGAATATATAATCAATATGCTACTGATAAAAATATTGATAAAAATATAAGTACATTGTTGATAAAATAATAATATCACAGTTTTATCATCAGAGATATACTGTATATTTATTTTTTATTCTTACATCATATTACTCGATTGTTGATTTAATTTTGACATTTAATTTTGACATTTTGCATTTCAATAGGAAGAACCAAATAATCGTAACATAAAATTGCATTGTTATTATCGACAATTCTTGTTGTAGAATTGATGAATGTCTTCACCAAAATGGGATTATGTTTCTAACGTAGTAATCTGGTAGGGGAACAAACGAAAGTATTTAATAACGTATGTGAATTTCATTGCTAATGATCAATTAGCGAGAAATAATGTATGAATTATTTTCAGGAAACGCGCGTGTTGTATCCTAGTCGGACAATATGTGATTACCATTTCAAAGAACACCTGAGAGATGCTATCTGACATTTTGACTTATCGCTAGCCAATGATACACATATAATGATCTGATTTCTTTTCATTATGCCGATTAATCGTCCACTGCAAATCGATGCGCGAAACAGTCGCGGCGATATTTTTGGTGATTTTCGGAAGGCCGAAATAATAGAGGGAGGAAGGGAAGGCCGCAACGTGATCGCAGATCTAAACGAGACTTGAAAGCAAAACGAAAATAATTGCGATAACTAGAATTGCCAGTGGGCTTTACCGGTCCAAATTGCTTGCACGACGCGGTCACGGTAGTTTGGATGTATGCGAGAGAAAATTGATTTCCCACGAAGGCCCCGAACTGTTGGCCATTGAGGACACAGAGCTCCAGAGTTTGGACATGCCCGGCGGTATTACGGCGGCCCGCCATATTTTAATATTCCGTTGTTGTCGGAGCAAGTTACGCGCCGCATTATTCACTCACGTTGTACCGCGATGCATTTGTACGAGAAACGTTTATTTCGCTTTGCGCCATTTGTGGCGAATTACGGCGTAATACTCGAGGAAAGACTCGCATCGCTCAGTCTCTCTCGCGTGCGGCTACGCCATTTCTCGCCATCGCATCTTCGTAATGTACTTTCTCTCCCCCCTCCCCCTCCAGAACTCTCTTTACGACGAATGGAGTTTAATCGCTGCGCCACGCTTGCCGACACGGTCGTTTGTTTGCACAACTTTGAAATGCGTACACATAACGTAATATGCTAATTGAAAACGCTTATTGATAAACATCATCCACGAGAGAGCGGATGCGATCTCGAGGGTGTTAGAATTAAAGCTCACAGCAGATATGTATTACTTCGACGTTACTTCATTTCTGTCTTCTGAATTGTTGTTTTTTTTTATCCCCCGATGCTCATTTGAATCGAGCATCGCGTCAATCTATCCGTGAAACTTTTCAAAGATCAGAGATCGCTTCGGGTGAAGGAAAATGTAATTACGAACAGATTAGTTTTGGTTATATTGCATATATTTACTCCGGATATTTACCTCATCAGCTAATTAAGGGCAGAAAAGAGCGTGAGACGAGCGTTAAAACGCCAGGAGGCAGCTGCGCGAGCCTAAGTTTATTTTTCCTCGAAGATAAGTTTAATCGGGCGGCGTTTCGTCGGAATGTAAAGTTCAATTAAAGTTCAATTTGCATTTTGTGTTTTATTTGTGAACTATTAAACCATGGATTCGAAGAGAGGAATAATCCTGCCTCTCTATTCGCTTAATGGGCGGACTCTTGGTTTTTCATGCGACGCCGCCGGCACACTTTTTACAAACTACTCTGCATCAGGAAATTTTAAATTAGCTTGTTGTTTCGTTGGAATGGACGGAAGTTTGAACGAACTTCGACAAGAAGTGGACGTAACTTTGTGAATGATTACGCAGTCTCAACGTTAGAAAATACATTTCTTCTTCCGTTTCCGTTTCTCCTTTAAACATTGGCGAATATGCTAATCGTAATATAAATCTTATAGTAAGTTCTCTTTCCTTTAAGATTATGTATTGTCATGTTTACTCTTTTACGTTTGAATAAGCTAGAAAGCTAAAAAAAAATTGACGGATTTTTAATGAAGAATGGCGCAGAGAATGACTATGCGAAATTCTATCATTGGTAGGCGTGCCATTAAAGTTCGATAATTAAGAAATCGATAAATTTCGATACTCTCAATGTTATTACGCTACACTCTCCATTTAATGATCCAATAATTTCCGTGTTACAGTGAAGGCGCACAAGTACTGCGAGTTGAACGGCACATGGTTCCGGCATCCCGAATCTAATCAAATATGGAGTAATTACACAACTTGCGTGAACCTACAGGATCTGAGCGTGAGTTGTTTTTTTAATGTACTTGCTTCCGTTCGCGTAAACAAAATAAACCGGCTGGTCAAAGCTCTCGCTAGTTTTCCCGTGTCAAAGAGACGGGGGAAGGATTATCGAGGAACATTGCCGCGATCGCAGGAAAGCGCGAGCGCGAGCTTTGATGATATCTGAAAAATTCGCTGGTTAAAACCGTCGTCGGACGGTACGGGGCTTATCCCTCTGGGAAATAACATATAAGTTCTCACACGCGAACCCCAGTTACATCCTTTCAATCCCGTACGAGATGTCGCCGCTCTGACACGGGTTCGATTCCGCGTTATTCTGCCTGAAGGCTCGCGATCAACCGGCTCCATATATTCTCCCGATAGCTAATATCGTTTGAGCGAACAAGGACGCGTTTGTTGAAATATTTGAAAGACACGCACGCTGCATCCGACAGGGAAGGTATTACTTATTTTGCATTCGCGACGTTGCACAAAGGAACAATTTCAGCGATCACGCGACCTCGCAATCTGCCTCGTAACGATACGGACGATACGGCGCCTGCTACATTATTCGTTTGAGCATTATTGATATTTCGGCCGTTTCGCATAATAACGTTACGGTGGAAGTAAGAGGGTAAAAAAAAGGTTTCTCACGATTTACATTCGAAGAATTGATTTCTCGTCGCTGCAACTGTCACGGCTGCTCTCGATGAAACGGATTTATGATGCGCGCGCCGGAAAAAGAGAACGCGAGCCATAGAAATGAAACAAGCATGAAATTGTCCTGAATTTTCCAACTTCTGTCAATACGCGGATCCTCTTTAACGCGGTGTCCTTTTAGCGTCCGGTATCTCTTCCAGGTATTTCCGATGTAGCGAAACCATTCAAGCGGCAAAGCGATTTATCCGTTGAGACAAATGGATTTTATAACGCGATCACGTAGGTGTGTGACCTCCGTGCTGTTGGTCTCGCGCTTTACAGATTTTTCGACGTCGCTCTTATGGGATTAATGCCGGAAAGCAACGCGCCTTTGACGCGTGAGACAGTACGATAATACGATGAAGCGTTTCCCGCTTGCGAGGAACCGCTTTTACGTAACGCCATCCATGTCAACCCTTCTCACTGTACTTGACGAGCCGCGCTCTATTCATTAGGACCAGCTTCATTTCGGTACCAATACACACAGCGTGATCATCCTTTAGAACGTGTCCCGTCATAGACGCGCCCGTTGAACCTGTTCTCTCCTACTGTATCCATCACGTCGTTGCGAAGGCATTTCACTTCTAACGCGTGTTGACATCAATGTCGATACTCGCGCCTTTTTCGTCGCGACACTACTGACATTGCGAACATAATACTCGCCATGGAATTCTTTTCCGTCTTTAGGGTCAAATTCTTGTAGCAAACTTTTCAATATCAATGTGAAACGAGAAGAGTGATTCAAAAGAAGCGAGTAATGCTTTTAAATTTTGCGAGAAAATATATGGAACTTGTGAAAAGAGTGAGAGAAATAGATTCACTTATTAAATATACAGGGTGGCTCACGTAAACACTATTACAAGTTAATAACCTTGAAAATATTTGTCGCACTAAAAATTGTTTATGAGAAAGTTTCATGTATTCGAGGAACCTTTCTAACTACGTAAATAAAAATTCACTCCATCTCCCCCTTGAAGGGGTAACTTTATAACTTCAAATAGGACCTTCTATACATTACATACTTGGATTCTACGGGAAAAAACAAGTAAATTTTATCTGAAACATTTTTTTGAAAAATGCTTCTATCAAAAATTATAAACATTGAAACTTTAAAGTAAAGAATATTCAAACTAATGGTAAAATTATAAATAAAATTATAAATAAAATAAAACTATAAATTAAATAAAATACTTCATAGTTTTTTCTGTTTTTTATTTTATTAAATATTCAAACTGTTGATCATTCACAATTAAATATTTATTAATTCTTTCAACATTTTGTTTAATTCTAGATAACATTTCTAGGATTACGTTAGCATTAACAAGCTTCATGTATTTTTCGTTTTAAATCTTTATTCGTTATAGTGGTTGAGCCATGACTTTCTCTTTGATATATTCCCATAAAAAAATAGTTCAAAAGTGTAAGGTTAGGTAAACGAGAGGGCCATTGAACAGGACTTTCCCGACTTAATAAATGTTTAATTGTCAATGGTCAATAATTTATGGTTTTACCATTAATTTGAATATTCTCTACTTTAAAGTTTCAATATTTATAATTTTTGATAGAAGCATTTTTCAAAGAAATGTTTCAGGTAAAATTTACTTGGTCTTTCCCATAGAATCCAAATATGTAACAATTTATAGGAGGTTCCATTTGAAGTTATGAAATTACCTCGTTTCCTTTCCAAAGAGGAGAAGGAGCGAATTTTTGTTTATGTTAGAATGACTTCTCGAATTCGAGACTTTCTCATGAACAATTTTTTAGTGAGATAGATATTTTTAAAATTATAAACTTGTAAATTATAAACTTGTAACACTTTATATGAGCACTTTGTACATGAGAAACAAGAATAAAATAATTCTTTAAAAAATTGAGAGTGGATATAAATTTATAAAAAGATAATTTTCAAATATTAATTCTTTTAAAGAATTATTATGTTATTTTTATTGTTATTTAATTATGTATATATAAGAAAAGATACTGATAGCATAAAAGAAACTTGAAAAATCGTGTTGTTTGATGCTTTCTAGATAAACAAATATTACGTTTAGATATATGACCGTACGTACAACTATTCAGTTTTGTTTCAGATTTTAGATATCGAATTTTCCAAGCTATCTAAAATATAAAATCGGAATGTCTCGCATTCGGATTTTATTCCCTATTGCATGTCACATGAAAATTCAAAACAAATTTAGATATTACGAATGTTTGCACATTCGCATAATTACAATTTACGTAATAAGGAAAAAGACGAATGTCGCGCGAATTCACGCGAATTGCAGTTATTTATAAAGACTTGAAAGTGCAGACGCAGAAAGTGCGAAATGGTCAAAAATACTCCACCGCAGTGCTCTATTTTATAAATAATGATAAGATGCGCGCACTTATCTTTCGGGTCCACAGAACGAGGTCAGACGACTTAGCGGAAAAGCTTGGGAGAATATATTTTTGCATGTACCATTTTCATTCTTGTCCAGCTAGGACAAGTAATCTACCTGAGTGATTTTTACCCGAATAATCTTCCTCAAATCTTTTACCTCTCGACAACTATTTTATAGAACACGAAATTGCAAACGGATTCATTAGTGATCCGCTAATGATATGCCGCCACAACCGAGTTACCTTTGTACGCGCATCCTTTATCTATCTCTCGTTCCCTTTTCTTTTCTCTTTTTCTCTCTTTTTTTTTTTGCAAATTACGTGGTGATACATTTACTTCTCGCAGAGATGGCGGTCTATTCCAGAGTTTTTAATTCACACGTATCTGACGTGAGTTGAATTCTCGTCGCATACGTGCTGTTGCATTTTCAAATGAAACCGATTCTTTGCGCTCGTAGTGCTGCGACGGTACGACAAAAGCCTTTATATTCGTTCCCGTACACAACGAACACGTTTACATATGATCATCGATTCGCATTTCTAACATCGGCAACATCTGGACTAACTCTAAGATAAATATTATCGTAAAACCAGGAAACAGCTTATGCAAATAAACGCACTTAAAATGCATTGGACGGTAACGGTTGTGTACTGAATCAGTTCCGTCCTCCGAAAGTATGTAAATTGATTGAAATTCTCATCGGCAGTATTAACTTGTTCGCTTTTGTTTGGCAATCATTTTAAAAGGAAATCATTTGCAGCGCATTTATTACCTAAAAGCGCTTTTTACAAAATTACATAGAGTGCCCTGTAATTGAAAATATAATATAATCAAAAGTATGATGTACGTGAACTTACAATTTCAATGCTACTTCGATGTCGATATGTGTGATATTTTGAAGATTTCCTAGAAGAAATTACTTTAAAACGAAGGAAGCCCAAGTTTGAACAAAGTTTCACAAGAATTTGTATGACAAATGTTTATTACAGTATCAAGCAGTGGAAAGAACTGAAAATGGACAAGTTGCACAACTTGATTATAAAGTCTGTTATCAGACGTTATCTAATATTTGCATGATATTGGCCTTGAACTTTTCTTCGCGTATATGCATATATATTATGCATTTGAATAATCTTCTAATTTACAATTTAATTATTATAATCTATGTTTAAATATAGAATTAATGATAAGTAAAGTCCTACTAGTTTAATTTGTAATAAACAAGATTTTGCTATCCATTCGCAGTTTCGAAATTTAATTCTTGAAAATTTCTAAATTTCTTGAAGCCGGCACACCAGAGCAAGCACTCCAAAACTTTTTTTTAACTTTTAGAGTGAACACATTTTTGCGGTACCGTAATAGTGATTATATATGTCATTGGAGTTCGCTTTTATTTTATAATACTTAGATTACATAAAAATTTTGAAAAAATTCATATACCTCTTTTTCGAGATCTTAATATCTAAGATTTTATGTAATTAGGAGTTAGGACAAAGATATTGGCAAATAATTTATTTTTAACATTTTCTAAAGTAATTGGGGAAAAAAAAATTTGACAAATTTTTGGAAATTTTTAATTTAAAAAAAATGAAAATAAAAAATTCTCTTTGGATTATTTAGTTCAAACTTTGTACTTTATGAAAAAAAAATATACCATATGTAATCTTTTTCAGAAACTCTAATTATTTCGTAAGTTAAACATGATGTCTTGTACACGAGATATAAAGAATAATAAACACATCAGATAATAAACACACGTCAATGAGATATTAGACTTTGATCATTCATATCAATAATCAATATTGAATGTTTAAAATGTACTAATGACAGTGGAATGTCACAAAATCTTATCTACTAAATTATTATTACTTTCTTAATATTTTCTTAATTATTTTCTTTCTAATTATTATCTACTAAAGATAATATATTTTGATGTCATT